TTGTAACTTAGTTTTAAATTAATATGTATAAAAGGAAATGTTTTTCTGCTATATTGTAGGTTATGTATATATTTTGAGACAAATGGGATTTTAAAAGTTACGTATTATGGTCATTTTATTTATGCAAACTCATGAATGTCTCATTAGTGATGACTAGTTAATTTGTTTTTGTCGACTACTGATTAGAAGTTCCTAGATGGATGATCAGAAGAATTCCTCTTTCAGTTAGAAATCTTCAGTTCTTACTTTTTATCTTTTTCCTTCAGATTTTTGTGTGTGTGTGTGTGTGTGTGTGTGTGCGCGTGTGCGTGTGTGTGTGTGTTAAATTTTCTGGCTAGGACCTTTTTGTAACCTAGACCTGGTACTCAGATGCAGTGTCACTTTAGGGCAAGGTCTGGCACTGGTGGACTGTCTGAGAAAAAAGGAGAATACATTTTTACTTCATTTCATTTCTTCCCTAAGTTGGAAGACTCAGCAGTAGCTGGAAGTAAAATTTCTGGGATAATCACTATGTAGGTGAATCTTGAGTAGTTCTTGGTGTCACCTATAAAAACAGTTTTGTCTGTCTGGAAAGCAACTTTTTTAGTGGCAGGAATACAAGGGGCAGGGGTGGGGAGGAGAGAATGAATTATTAGTCCTCACTTGATTGTTGTATCAGTCCAAACCCTTTGAAATCTTCAAAGCTTTTGTGAGGGGTCCAGGATTGGAAAGGAGCTGTGGGACCATGCTTTCCAGGAGAGCAGTAGTTCAAGGGAGTAGAGCAGTGCTTATCCAAGCAACAGATGACAGAGCAGGAAAAGAAACGGTAAAGTTAATACCTGGAGCCGTCAGAAAAATAACAAAGGACATGATAGTGGGTTTTTTTGGAAGGAGAGTGTTTTGGAAGTGGAGGCACTTTGGGGTAGAGGTGTTGGGGGCAGAATTACATAATTTTCATTAATAGTAGAGTGAAAAATGTAAGGTTAGGATTAGTCTACTTGAGGCAGTGTGGTAGGATGGTTTGCGTATTTTCCAAGTTCTGGATAACTAGCTATAAGGAAATTTTGGAGCCCACTCAATTTTGTTTATTAAGAAATGTTTTTAAAAATTGAATAAATGGTTGAGAATTATATTGTGTATCTGTATATTAGTATTTATGGCAGTATATAATGAAATTTTAAAATGTGTTTTTCTCTAAATTTTTCTATATATTTTGTGACACATTTCCTTCTTATTGAATCTTGCTTAGATATAAATTGTATTTTTCTCAGTTCATCAAAACTCTACATTTTCTAGGTCTTTCTCAGCTCCACTTCTTTTAGCTTTCAGTTCTTTATGTTAAATGAATCAAATAGACATAAGAAATTTTACCAGCTTTTCCTCTGTAAGTTCACATTTAGGCTGAGAATGAGTCCAAGAAAAATTAAATCAACTATTGTCTTACAATGCTAACACCAGTATGTAGACTTAGTGTACAGATCCTTACTTGGAGAACACTTGATACATAAGAGATTTTATGTTGCAGCAAATTCTTGTTCGTCTGTGACACCCTACACTAATTTTTAAATTTGTAATTGCTTTAAAGTTACTCTCTCACTTCTTTGAATCACTAAAAATTAATTGCTATTATATTAAAAATGATTACATTTTATGTTAATGAATTAGGAGAATATAGATTTTCTAATTCAAAATCCCCATGTTGTATCATTTCATATTTTCCTTTTCTTGGTTCACCGTCTTTTTTCATTTGTCAAACGTTGTTCTCATTCTCGGATCCCTTTGAAAATGTGACCTGAGGTACCTAGTAGAACCAAATATTGTTTATAATTTTTTTTTGTTTTGATTTGGTACTGCCATGATCTAATTTCCTTTCAAGTAATATGTCTTTACTTTGAAACCACCTTAAAGAGCATTTGTGATCTTTATAGAGACCACTTTTATACCAAATGAAGATTTTTTAGCTGGCATGGTTTATTCTATTATAGTAATTTTTGGTGAGTAATAAGATTTCAGCTAATATTT